GTCAATATTTATTATTAGTAGCATTCACATACGCCTTAGAATCATACGTCTGTAAACGTATACAATTGTTTTTATATATTGATATATAAAAACTAGCGGTCAATTGCAATGTGCCGTTTTATTCATTAGCTTCAAATGTGATTCGCACATCCCATGATTCGCAATTGTCGAATTGTGAGCCGGCGCACATTTCACAATTTAAAGGATATTACTGATATAATTATTATTTCTTCATTATCTGCTGCTTTACAGGGGGGGCTCCTATCACACTATCTGCAGCCGATTTTCATGCAATCGCTAACAGTTGGGCGTAAATTTTCCGAGATACACTGTCGCAGGGCGTTGTGCTGTAGACTGGAGAAGAAAAAGAGAAAATCAGCGAAGAAATCTGAAGCTCGTATGTAGTGTCATTATTATTCGAGTTGCAAATCTAATAGCGGTTGTATTGATTGTCTAACTCTTCAACTATATAGCTTGAGTAGGTTGTTTACATTGGTGGGCGACTTAACAATCGACTACCTATACGCCAGTATGTCTTTCAAACGCAACTGTTGTAGCCAACTCAGTGCAAGTATCGTTTACATCAGTGTTCAGATGTTCAATTTCGGTATAGCATGCCTACGAAATGGTTATCGTACGCTGCAAATACTGATATCCTACTTTCCTACTTCTCGATCTCTGAATTTGAATGCAGTCACATCTCGATCAGACAATCCCACAACAGACCCTTGCTACGGTTCTGTGCATCACCCCAGATATCTCTGCACAGGTATAAAACTGGATAAAAGTATTATGACCATCGAGGACGGTGCTGTGTTCAGCACCCAATGCTTTGTCTGGGGTTCGTGTGTAAACGCTCGCGCGTGCAACCGAGAGACGACTTCCCCACCTACACTTCCTAGAGAGTGTGTCGACTCAGTATCGCAATTAAAAACTAACGGTAGCTGTGATAGAGGAGGTGCATGTTCAGATGATCAGCATGCAAGCGTGGTCTCTGACTCGAATTCTGCTGCACGCGAAGATACTACTGTAGGATATGCGAAGTCCATACCAAACCATTCACTAACGTGTAGGTGTGAAGGAGAGTATTTGAAAGCGGCAACTGGATTTGCTGTCAGTAAAGCCGATGCAATGGCAATCGGAGTCGTACATGCGGAAGAATCTCCAGTGTTGAAAGATGCACAAACCTCGATCGAGGGAACAAAGGACTCAACTGAGAATATGAATTTTAAGCCCAAACTCAGCACACAGGTTGGTACATGCTTATCGATGCCACCGACGTCTGCAGGGCATATAAAAGATATCGCTGGGGTCCAAATCGAGCCAGCCAGTGTTGGAACACTGGGCGGTGGTGATACAGTCGAGCATGACTCTAGTTGTACAGAATCGGATAGGCCCGTTCCGGTTGAGGAAACGGAGCAGTGGAGAAGCCAATTCGCCACTCAGAGCTTGTGGCAGAGATTTGTCAGTATTGAGAGCGGACCCGCGAAGTCGTCGTTAGTGGATAATCAGATTGACAATGCGCAGCTAACGGAGGCAATTCAGTCAACAGACGATTCAAATACAGTCGATGATGATTGTAAAGAGAAAGTGGATCCAGGGGAGACGATGCTGACCAGATATAGGATACGCAAATGTAAGCGGTCGCGCACAACGGGGTATGAGTTGACTAAGGATATTCTGTTTAATGATCCTAGGTCCTGTTTCGTGGGTTGGAGAGAGGACCGGCGTGAATTGTAGCACCTCGAGCTTGTTGAAGGCGGAGAATGTGCTCGAATGCACAGGAGAGCATTGTGTATCTCCCTTTTGGCATTGTAGCTCGTGTGAGATCTATTAAAACCACCACTCAACGCCTTGTTATTGCGGGAAATTTGAAACCTTCAATTCAATACAATGCGATCAAATCGCGTGTTCGGTCTGTTTCTGCTGTTCTTCTTCCACTCGCAGTGACTATGGATATCTATAAATATATGATTGGATCTGAAAACGTTTGCACTTGTCATTATCGCACGCGAGCGTTTAGCAAGAGTTCGTCTCACACGGATTATGCGATAGAAAGCTGAATAAAATGATAGTCGACGGAGTGAAATCACATTCTTGATCTAGCTGGGAAATCCTAAAAAATAAATATTGTTCTATTTTCGTGAGCTCGACACAAACGGGAGACTTGAACAGACTATAAATTGCAACTTGCAAAGTTCCACATCGCATCGTCGTACAATCCAAATGAATTCTAATGAGAGTTGTACAGCTATAGCATTTTGTCTATAGTTTTACTTCAAAGTATGTCAATGCCGATTTAAAGAGAACGCTTCCCACCTATGACACACGCCCATACTCGCCATTAATGCTTCACAAGCTCTAGCGAGTCCTCAAGCTGGAGGCAAAGACTGGCGCTGCAACTCGGTACTCGCTCTGGGTTGATACTATATGAAATCGCCCGAAAAGCCCAGATCGAAGCTCATATTCTGAGTTTTGTTTCTGCTTGGTGACTGAGTGCGGGCTTTCCGCGCTGCCGTTCTAGGTGAAGCGCTCTTGCCTTGCGACTGTTGTACTTCCTGGCCTCCCCATAAGAAATTGCGAATACTCTCTGTAAAATGGTGCAGTATATTTCGAATAAAAAATTAGGTGAGCAAACGATATTTGAATATTAGAGCACCTTAGGAAAGGCAGATTCTCCTTGTAAAGCACGTAGAAGCATTTCGAGATTACTCGTCAAACGGTATCAGTTTGCTTGTCGAAATCAGTAGAGTATATATGACGGTCCAGATCGTGAGCTCAATCGACATCCCATATAAGATCAATAGCTCTTAGTCACTGCGTCATGATTTCTGGCAATTTTGCCCAGAATGATATTTATAGGGATACGATTCAAAAGTGCACAAACAGCGAATCAATACGGATCGAGCACTCACCTGAACCGCTGAAGCCAACTTTCTGCACCCACTGACTAGCCTGCTCACCGACGGCAGACGAATTCGTGATAGTTGACCATGTGCCTATTGTTTTTGAGTTGTGTTAGTGTAGGTCTCATGTTATGGATAATCCAGTACCCACTGCGCGATCAATAACTACTCAAAACTGTAAATCGCTGTTGGTGTAGTTCCTCCTGCCGACTGTTTGAGCCTACTCCAATATACGTGGCACTCTAGCACGCACAAGACAAGTTGAGCAGCAGACATTGGCATACGATGTATCCATGCAAATGACACAATATTATCGAGTACCATATAACGTCAACAGATGCAAAGCCTCGTGCTACCAAATACACTTTGCCCATAGCGCACAATAATAAGAATAACATCTTTCTTAATACACTGCGGATGAGGGAGCGCCAAAGGCACATAACACGTACTTTCCGACTGATCAGCGTGATTGCTTGATTCTATCACACCCAGCGAGGGCGTCACATTGAGGATAGGTTTATTTAGTGTCCCGCTGTCGTGTTCGTCCGTTGCTTCAGATGGCAGCGGAGCCACGGTTAGTGTACCAAACCTGAGCAAAAGAGATACATAAAGTGTTCTTGTGTTCATAATCAATAATAGTGATCGCTAAGTTTTTTGTGCTTACTACTTCTTAACCAAGCGAGAACCGAAAAAAGCGAGTAGGAACGAGAGCACGTGCTGATAAGTTTGCTGTAACATGTATATTCACTGCACACGACTGGCAGAGCTTAGTTATAAGCCTGGGTATACAACCATCACCACCACATAAACGAACAGTAACAACATTGGGCACAGAAGCAGACTAGCACCCACGTGCCTCTTAAAGACAAAACAGCCTTCGTCCAGGAGATTTTCGATGAGCACACAAACATGCAAGTGCTCGAGTCCACTCTTTTATTTAAGCACACACAATAGCATATGACAGATATTTTCAACAAACGACCGCAGAAACAGGCTCCCATGCCGATATACTAATCAAACACTCACACACCTGACGGTTGGAGTGGCAAGCATCATAATGTTGTGCATATTCAGACTGCCTGCGCCCACACCACTCTTAACACGCTTTGAATTAGTCTTAGATTTATGCACGTGTTGCGATATGGCGTGATTTGCCCCTGCATCCAGCAAGCCTAGTAGTGTACTGAGTTGCCGGCAGCACAACTGTATATTCTCAGTCAGATACGGCAGCAGAACGCTGAGGTCGAACGGATCAATCTGTCAAATACAGCGCACATCACGAGCAAACATATTCCTGGTTAGTTCAGTGCCGAGTCTTTTGGCGGTGAATATTAATAATAGCATATGTGTGTATGAGACCCAATAATTGATGATGTCAGGTGTCATCAAGTTTGCTGACTGTTTTCGGACAGTAACGAAGGCATTCGGTCGATACGGTGGTCAATTGCGGACCCATGTGACTGCGACTATCTCTGACAGAGGATCGCTGGCATGATGGTTTCGATCAATGAGATGCGAAAGCATACGCTCAGATAGATGATGCACCAACTATTCCAAGCAGAACGGCGATTAGGGTCGACAAATTGATCATGCACACCTACATAGTTACAAACGGTATGAGAGTGCATCATGTCCGCTGATTGAAACAGCTGATCAATCTACAGTAGAGAATAGGTCACAGTTGAATTAGAATAGAAAACCAAAACCGGATGAAATACAGTACGATATCAGACACACCTTTGACTGTATCTGTGTCTCGAGCCGCTGTACGGTGCTAGTGATATCGCCGTCAGTCGTTTGCGCGCCTCTCGGTGCAAGGAATGCGACAAACACTGACAGATCAAACAGAAGTTGGATCGCACCCTCCTGAGGCATGTCGCTAATATTGGAGAAGGTGTCGATCATTTCTAATGTTTCTGTGCAGAGATCCTTCAAAAGCGCGATCGAGCAGATAAAATTAGTATTGGAGAGGAATAAAATCGATTTGCACAGCTTGAGCGGCAAAATGAAAGTGTAAGACAATCATTCACACATCCAGATTGCATGTGCCAAAACATGGTCGATTCGGTGTACTTGTCAGCAAGCGTTTCAAACTGCAAGGAAATATATGCATATGTCGTAATTTTGCTGCACATATTTGTAAAAGAAAATAAGCGAGATTTTAATCCAGCAGCTCTCTTTTCTTCTCTAAGGACGTCCTCCCACAGGAGTAGACATTGAAGTCTGAACCGTTTCTCAAGCATTTTGTTTCATGACCCAATTATAATATTGGCGAACTGTTTGGGATAGTACTGGCTGCACACCTTCGTCTCATTCTTCAAAGCAAACACACACGAAGAATGCGAGCAGATACATCACAACACCACCCGGGACTCACATAAACAATGCCCCGCACGTACCCTCCTCAATCTCGCTGAATTTGTAGGATCCCACCCATAGCCGCCGGCATGGGCTAGTAGACGCTCAACTGTGCACATAAACTGTAACAGCTTGGGGTGCGGCTGAGATGGCACTGAGATGCTTGATTCCACATGCCCCCCTTGGTCGTTATCCTCATTGATTTTCACGACGTCCCATGACATTGTTTGAAGGGAGGTGTAGATGTCTTTTGTTATATGATACCTGTATGTAAAGTATTCATTGTGTGCAAGCTTTAGTTGTGAATAGCAACTAGATCGTACAAAAAGATTTATGCATTGCGATGTTTGTTTCTACCTTAACGAACTACACCGTAGATATAAATCTTGCCGTAAGTACCAAATTATATAGAAAGTTTGACTACAATCCGGTGTGAAAATGCTGCTATAAACTATATTTTGTTCGATCTCCAAAGGCAGATCTAGCATACAGTAGATAGCGACCATGTCTACGATGACTATTGATTGATGATAAAAGAAGGAAACTAATAGCCATAGGCAAATAGCAGCCCGAGTGTACGAAAGAGATGTCGCGAAATCGAAGATTCTGAGACATGAGTTGATAAGCTTTTAGCTCCTTGTGCACACGGAAAAATTCACCCACGTGGACTGATATGCCAGATCATAGACATTTCAATGACTAATGATCGCATCTGTATTCGACTGCCAATTAGCACAAAGTGTACATACTATATGCATACGTAGTTTTGGAGAGATCCTCCGATGTTACTGGGGGTTGTACTTGCATTCGCATAGCATGTGCGCAGATGTGTAGGTGGAAGTCAAGAATCGGCTCCACTAGAAAACTAAACCACACCTTTGAAGTAGTAATCAATATAACATGGCAATGCTCGATATTAGTTTGATATTCGGTTGATCCAGGAGCAAGGCATAGTCTCAATACCAAATGCGATACAGTACTGTATCGGCAGAAAGACAAAAACATCTTGCACAGACTCACAGCCCCACCTTGTGAACAGATGTGTCACACTTGTATTTCGAAAATATGAACCTGGTGAGAAGCCATGAACTGTGATACATAGACTACTTTTCTTGACCAATAAACAGGCACCATGAGACTAAAAACACACACACGATCCACTCGCTTTCTCGAGAAGAAACACACCTTAAAGACGTCCGAGAAAGCTGGAGAACCCAGTCCTGCCACACATCGACACCTCTGGCAGCCACCTCCTGCAGAGGCGTTGTGATGGTAGCAAGAGCCTTGGCGTCTGCGCTTGTCGGTAGTATACCCGACATCGGCACACTAGTCAGGCGCTTGAGCGGCCTTTGTATTGTATATGTTAACGTAAGTGTGGGAAGTAGTGAGACACTGGAGAAGCCTATGCCTCCACACAGTGGCGCAGGCGAGCGGGCGTTGTAGAAAGAGTGCGCGCAATGCGGCGCAGAGTTGAGAGGTTTTGAACTCATACAACATCTGTGCGAACACGAAATATACAACTACTATAAGAGGCTGTGCAATTATTGTCATTTAAACTGCGCGTGAGAATATTCAATGACCCGATGTTCTCCCGTAGCCTCTGTTGCCAGGTTTACAATAACATAGGTTTACGCAAAGTGATAAGTGGAGAATGTACCGTGATGAATTTTCAGGTAGAAGGGATTGTATGGCAAACGACGTGTACTTTGCGAGGTACATGGACGCTACCAGATCAGATGCCGGTTCATGTGGGAAGCCTGATCAGAGACAAGAGTACACCAGAGGCACATGGCCTACGTGCACGATTCAAAGTGACGATACCAATAGCCCAACAACACTGCCATCTATACGAATAAATGTGCATTGAAACGTATGCATATACGATGCGCAATCGTGTGCAATGTATCACTGCCATTAACCACTAACTAATATCCACACTGCGTGATCGTGTGTAATGTCGTAGAAAAGTATCAAGAACAATAGCGGTGCTCACAAATATGTAATTAGTGACATATATCAACGATCTGCACATTGATGGACTTTGTCAATCATACGGAAATAATAGTGGAAAGTAGTAGTAGACCAACATGTATACTCACGACCACCGAGAACCCACAGGAGGTAAACCTGGGTTTGGGCATCTATACATACTATCCTTGCGAATGAGATTCAGTCCACAAGCTACAACACAATAATGGTGCAGCGTGCGCAACAACCACCCTTCCAGCAGTTACCAGGAGGTGTACGATAGCCCTACAACCGTACCTGCTGCTCGCCTGTGAGAGGGGGTACTTAGACTTCCTCGACCCGTGCATCACACACGCAGGGATCTTCACAGAGAGACTGGCGATGGCACGCGCAATGTCCGCTATCAGCAGCACGCGTTTGATGCGCTCCTTACCGCCGTCTACTTCGACCGCGACTGGTTCTGTGTCGGACTGCGTTGTTTGTATCTCTGTTTGGATGTGTATTTATACAACAGAATAATAACTTTAGAAGAAGGAATTGTCAGTCAGCGTTGTTTATGTCGCTGTGTATGGATATGTATATGCAGTTATACAATAGAGTAAGAAATTGTCAGTCAGCGTTCTTTGTGTCGCTGTGTATGGATATGTATATACAGTTACACAATAGAATAAGTGTCGCTGTGTATGGATATGTATATACAGATACACAATAGAATAAGAGATTGTCCGTTAGCGTTGTTTGTGTCGCTGTGTATGGATATGTATATACAGTTACACAATAGAACAAGTGTCGCTGTGTATGGATATGTATATACAGTTACACAATAGAATAAGAGATTGTCCGTTAGCGTTGTTTGTGTCGCTGTGTATGGATATGTATATGCAGTTATACAATAGAATAAGAAATTGTCAGTCAGCGTTGTTTGTATCTCGTGTATATAGAGACGTGTATATGCAATTGAACGAAAATGAGATGACAGCGTCGTTTGAAGCGCTCTATACAGTGTGTATCTCTGCCTATGAATATGCAACTGAGTAACTTACAGCTAGGCAGAGGATTAAGGAGACATGCAGGTGATTACGGTGACAGGCAGGTGATTAAGGTGACAGGCAGGTGATTACGGTGACAGGCAGGTGATTACGGTGGCAGGCAGGTGATTACGGTGGCAGGCAGGTGATTACGGTGACAGGCAGGTGATCACGGTGACAGGCAGGTGATTACGGTGACAAGCAGGTGATTACGGTGACAGGCAGGTGATTACGGTGACAGGCAGGTGATTACGGTGACAGGCAGGTGATTACGATGGCAGGCAGGTGATTCCGGTGACAAGCAGGTGATTACGGTGACAGGCAGGTGATTACGGTGACAGGCAGGTGATTACGGTGACAGGCAGGTGATTACGATGGCAGGCAGGTGATTCCGGCGACAGGTCAGGTGATTAAGGTAACTACTCTTATTTTACTGGAAACNCGGGGCAGCTTCTAGTTCGGTTGAA